TCAGCACAGTAATTTGAGCCAATTAGAATCAAGTCACATGTATTATAATTAGTGCTTTTCATCAAAATCGTCCTGATCTCATGATCCCATAATCAGAATCACATGATCTTGTGCTTGTTAGAATCATCTCAGTGAGCTGAATCCAATGGTGGTTGTTTCATCCAAATTGGTTTAGTACATTAAAAGTTATAGTCAAAAATGTGTAAAACTCTTAATATTAACACTAGTACTAATTTAGTGCTAATAGGTTTGACTAATTCCTTGTCTTTTCTTAGAACTTTTATTTATAATTCTCTAATATTTCTTTTTGAGCTTTGTCTAACTTATTAAACAAGTCTTGATATTTTTTAAATTTCTTATACCAGTTAATTTCTGTAGATATTAAATAAATCTTCTGTATAACACTTTTTTGTATTATTCTATAACTTTACTAGATATATTTAACATATAATTGTTTCTTATATTTGTATTTGTTTGTTTATCTGTAAGATTACATATTTGTTTATTTGTTTTTTGTTGTGTTTACTGTTTATTCTGTCTTACTCTATATGTTACATATGTAATTTGTAATATTAAGTTTTTGTGTTTTTCTGTTTTTTTTTAAAAAAATGTTTCAAAGACTAAAATTTTTGAAAAATTGCTTCTAGATTACTACAATAATACTATTTTAGTTTACTATTCTAACAGTCTAGTTTAATTTTCTACTGACTTTGTTATTGCTTAATCAACTACTATATTTTGATTTGACAAATTTTGTGTTTTCTATGATTTCTTTTTTGCTTCAAATTTGGTTGCAAGAATTAGCAAAGAAGGTTTTTTTTTGAATATAAATTTTCTATTATTTTTTTTTAATATTTTTTGTTTATATTATTTATTATATTTTTTAATTCTTTATATTTTTTTAATATATTTTTTTTGTGTTTTTATATTTTTTCTAAAATGTTATCAAATTAATAATATTATTTTGTAAAGAAATAATTAAATATATTCTTATTATTTTTTTTTTTTTAGAAAAATAGATAATTAATACAAGTAGATTACTTATAAGTAATTATACAAATAACTTTAAAATATTATTATAAACTATTAAAATTAACAAAACTATTTAAGTATAAAAAATAAAAATAAAAATAACTAAATTATACATAAAATTTAATAAATTTTTTTTATTAAAACATTTAAACTATTATTTTATAAGTAAAATTTTTTATTATAAATAATTTTTTAAATATTATAATTATTTTAAAATTTTTAATAATAATAAAGATGCTTAAAATTAACCAATCAAATAACGATAATAAACTAGAAATCAGAAACTGATATAAGTCTAAAGCCTATTAGATAAACACATAAATATTTATTTTCTTTTGTTGATGTTACATAACTATGCAAATTTGGATACATAACATTACAAATAAAAATACTGTAAGTATATTATTGATATTTTTAGTTAAAATATATCAAAAATGTAATTTTAGTTATCAACATACATAAACATATAAATTCTCTACTATGCTCCAAACAATAACTATTAAAAGATAAATTATGATTAAAAGATATAAAAAATAACAAATTTAATAATAAAAATTGTTAAGTTAATATAATTTTTTTATAGGATTGAAATGCAACTAGCTTACAATGAAAAGTATTTTTATGCAAGGATTCTTTTTGAATTTCTAACAAAAATTATAGAACAAATTATTCTGATTCTAATAATGATATAATTATTCAATTTGATTTGGTAATCGTGAGCTATTGGCGTTTTTTCCTTTATAACTATATAATGTTTACATAACGACAGCAACTTTTGGCATTCAAACATTATACGAAATTAATAGTAATTCTTCGCCGATTTTCACTATGAAATTTATACCTTCAACTGCGATCTACCACTTAAATATTTTGTAAATGTCACGAAACGTTCTACAAAAATCAGCCAATCACAATAAAAGTTTGCTATGTTGGTTTCAAGTTTTGAGTGTCGATATCATATATTTATAATCTACTTAGGTACAAAATTTAAAAGCAATTTAAATTGATTTCAAATTTGATATATATTATAATAAATCGTTAAATTTAATATGTAGCAACTTAAGTTGATTTTAAATTCGATATTGTAATAATATGTAATTGATTAAAGTAACGATAGTTATCTTTATTTAGCATGATAATTAATAATATAACTTTTATTAATTAACTATACCTATACTATTTCTTTATAGATTATTTTTTAACAGTGATTAATTGGTAGCTGCAATGTATCCTCCAATCATTTTAATTAATTTTTCTAAAGATTCTTCATTGCCGCCTAAAAATACTACGTATAAAGTAATTAATTATTTTTTCTTAGCCTTGATGTAGAGATGTAAATCGGCTCATCAGATCTATTAATTAATCAAATTTAATTATATTAAGATGCAAGCCGGTCGAGCCATTACTTTGATGCAGTTTTAATAAAACATATTGTCACAGGTTAAAAGTGACATTTCTGAAAATCATGACAAACTACGCCTCATGAGGCTTGCCAGCTGAAAGTCATTGAAGATAATGAGTTATTGAGAACAACGAAAGGATGCAAAATGTTTAGAATAACCGCAAATAGTTAGAGGACTTTATTAATTCATTGAAGTTATTTAAAGAACTTAAAGTTAGCTACGATACTTATGTACAATACATACGAGGTAGGGGACATAAGAATACTAACCCAAGATAATTTCTTTCTTACCATATTTCCCAGATATTGATTAAATCACCATAGTTACGCCGTTTGGAGAGTTGATCCTACCCCTATAAATTACAATTTGTCAGTAACAATATCATATTGTCATAAAGATTGATCAATACTATAATATAAAAAATCTCGATTACGTATATCTTGCTTTGTAAGATTTTGTTATTTCAATTTTATGATCACTTGTATTAAATTATTTCATCTTCCAAGCATAACCTGTAATGGGAAAATCTAGTATTTTTTGAATCTACTGCGCAGCCTGCATTACCGGCTAATGCGGGACAGAATTGTGTACATTCCGAAACATTCCGCCTGCACAGTGTCCCATCTCTAGTAATGACTAATTATAGGTTACGACTTATGACTGTGTGGCTTATAAAATTGTGATCATATGTATAAAGCTGAATATAACCGAGATCGACTGTGACATGTTGCTCTTGCTATATCTATTTAATTGTCGTAATTTGTAAGCATTTCCTTAGCATAGATACCCCCAAACAAAATCATAAGATGACAAGTCGTAAGTTAGATTGCAATACTTTTCAAATTCCGAAAACCGGATTAATATCTCAAACTGTTTCAGCACGTTCGACACATTCTGAACATCCGGCAAATTTTGATCGGGATTTGGGATTTTGCCTATATTTAAAAATTGACATACTGTATGATGACAAATTTTTCATCAAAGTTAATGTCACTCAAAATAGCGGAGAACATTATTACTATCTGGGACTTTATTGCCTAAACTAGTTTCGGCAATTTGGGATTCGGCATTTGATAAAACTATCGGGTTTGGGTGACACCACTAGATTAAACTATTCTGGACAAATCATAATTTCTAATGGATTCCAAAAAAGTAAACAAAAATTTAGAATGAAAGACTATACGCTACCAAACAGTGACAACCCTAAAGTGCGTAATTTAGTTTGCTCATTGTATACCTTTATATTGTGAATTATACAAGTTCTATTGGAAAAAATACATCTTATATTCTGAAAACCGACTTCATAATTTTTAATACAATAATATCCAACAGTAAATTAAATGCATCTATTTGGTGAAAAGAAGCTTGCTAACATATAATTATGAATAGTACACCGAATCAATAATTCTATAATAAACAATCGGTTAAATAATTCGATACGGAAGGGTAGATTGTAATGACGCGCAGTATGAACCTTCTTTATAAAGTTAGGTAAATGCATACAACTTTGTGTCTGGATCTAAGTAATTTTTTCGTAAATTTTAGAATTGATAGCATTGAAACTATAACACGTATCTGATATATTAGATTTGATTAAACGTGGGTCGCTTCCTTAACAACGATGAAACAGTAATATAAAACCATTCAAGAAATCAACCATTATGTATCAATAGCTTATTCGAAAGAAATAAATAAAATTAGGGCGTGAAAAATAGTCACTTTGAATTCCATTAAACTTGATGTTTTAATTAACCATTTTAGTATATTCTTTCCAGTTTTGGATAATTACTGCGGCCGGCATTCAAAAAAAAACTCAATAAAAATAGTACGTAGCCTTAAGCCCCCTACATTTTCTCATTATGGTAAATAAATGTTTATACGTATAAATTTACCAAATTGTAAATGTGTAACAGAATAATCTAAGATCATTAATAAAAAAAACAACGTTCTATAGTAATAACAATAAATTCAATAACATTTAAAAAAGTATAATGATAACGGTAATAGGTAAGACTTATCTAATCGTGTGACAAAGAAAATCGGATATATTTTAACCGCTGCATTGTATCCATTCAGAACCCTTTTAAAAGACGATCAAGGTTTCATCATATTCTGCATTCTGCGTTTGTACACCCAATTCTATGAATTCATAGTGACTAATTAATTTTTTTTTTGTTTATTACTTTCATAGCAAGTAGTCATTGTTCTATTAACTTTAACTTTCAGGAGAATATAGTTAAAGATTTTTAATTTTGTCAAATGTCAAAGACTATGCATTCAAAAATAAATTTTAAGATGCGAAATTAAAGATACGAGATGTTGCAAGGTTCAAGCTTATGTACGAGCGTACATACTATATACGTGCATACATGTATATTAAAGGTTGTATTAAAGTTATGTATGACTAGCATGACTATCAATACGTAAACAAACATGAAACTATCTATTTATATATCATGTAATATGATTCGGTTAAAAAAAATGATAACTTCATCTGAAGCAAAATGGTAAGATTATTCCAAATAGGTTTATTATCCCAAATGGGTTTCCGACTAAACTATTTAAATGTCGAGAAATCTGTCGACATTTCCTCTTGTTGAAGTTTTGTCTTCCCAAAATACTCAAGTGTTTGACGTAATAGATAGAATTCAATTAGTTATTCGTGACGAGTATGATCAAATTACGCTTAATGTTAAAAGGACAATATTCGTTAATTTTCTTGACACTAGTTATAATATGTATTGCACATATAATACCTGTGGTTAAGGCAAAAACTTCTCTTGGCCTAATTTCGTCACCTGATATACCGGGTATCCCAAAAGAGGGAAATGATTATTCAAAGTTGTTGGCTTATTCATTATATTTTTATGAAGCTCAAAGAAGTGGAATCTTACCTCAAAACAATCGTGTATCATGGTAAATTAGATTTTTTTTTTTTATGATTTTTTTTCACAAATAAATGTCTCATCAACCTTCGTTTTAACCATTAGGAGACATAATTCCGCTCTTGATGACGGGAAAGATAGAGCCGTGAACTTATCTGGAGTAAGTTTCGTTATTGTATATGTATTTTATTATATTTAATCATTTGACCAATTAATTAATTAATTAATTAATTAATTTCTCTAGGGCTACTATGATGCAGGTATATCTTCTTGCAATTGGCTATCAAATTATTCATGCATATTTACATTACGTATTTTATAGGTGATTACGTAAAGTTTACTTTACCATTGTCATGGGTACTGTCTCTCATTTCATGGTGATTGTTCAATTTTATTTAAAGAACTTTTGATTTTCTGTTTAACTTTAATTTTAAATTATATATTTTAAACCATTTAGGGGTGCAATCGAATGGTTTGAGGGGTATCGGCTATCAAACCAGACTGATTATCTTCATGATATGGTTAAATGGGGAACAGATTGGTTAATAGCCGCCCATTCTAAACCTGATCAACTTTTCATCCAAGTTGGTTCAAGTCAAATTGATAATGCTTATTGGGGTCCTGATACTAGGTATGTACATATGTCATTCGTGAAAATCATCCATCGGGTCGGGTATGATTACGTATATACTCGATTAATCATTTTTAAACAAACAATTCTACCCGGATCAAAACCTAGTTATTTTTGTTATATACAAACGTCATTTTTAATTAATATCACTTTTCTTTTTTTGACAACTATCATAAATAGTATTCCATATCCACGTCCCGCCTATGACATTAATGCAACAGCACATGGCACTGATGTCGCAGCAGATGCGGCTGCTGCCTTTGCTTCTTCGGCAATTTTATTTCGAGATTTTTTTGATGATCCTGATTATGCAGAGATATTAATAACTCATGCTATAAGCGTTTATAATTTTGCTGAAAATGCAACTCTAAAAGTTGCTTCCACTGGATCCTCCACTGCATCCTATGGATATAGTTCTTCATCATATAATGACAAATTAGTATATGGTGCTCTTTGGTTATACCGTGCTACTTCTAAAGTTCAATATTTAGATAAAGCGATAAATTATTATAACCAATTCCAAATGCATGATAGTTCAAGAGTTTTTTCATGGGATGATCAAACAGTTGCGTATAATTTTTTTATTAATTTTTATCTTAAATTTTTTTCCTCAAAATTGTAACCTTTATTTTATTTTATTTTTTTTAGGGTGTTTGCAATATTTTACTTGCACAAATATTCCATTATCAATCAAATGCAAATACCACTCTTTGGAGGGGTGAAGCTGAACGTTACTTGGACAGAATAATGATGACAAATCAAAGTAACTGTAGTTTAACACATGGTGGACTTTTATGGTGTAATGGTGATAGTCAATCAGGATCATTACCTATTGCTCTTTATAGTGTCTTTGGATTTCTTATGTATTCTACTTACGCATCTACTACTGAAAAATCTAATGCATATAAAAATTTTTCCGCTTCACAAATTGATTATTTATTCGGTGCTAATCCTATGAATATATTTTATATTGTCTCTGTTCATCCAAATTCTCCTAAAAATCCTCATCACGCTGGTGCACATGGGGGTACAAATGTTGCAAACTTGAGTGATCCAATAAATACTAGGCATCCTTTATATGGTGCTGTTGTAGGTGGTCCGAATATTAATGATTCATATCTTGATTTAAGATCAGATGTTATCCAATCTGAGGTATTTATATCTCATTCTCACTTAAAAAATATATATACATAATTTCTTAACACATAATGTGTTCATTGTCAATTTAAAGGTTGCGCTTGATTATAATGCCGCATTTCAAGGAATAATGGCGTATTACGTTATCAACACATACGTCCCTCCATCAACTTCACCATCACCAAATCCAGAACCAACCAGTCCATTTTCAATTCCTATTTCAAAACTATCTAATTCTCAAAAACTTATAATTATAACTATTAGTTGTGGTGTTTTCCTTTTATTATTAATTTCAAGTATAATAATATACAAATATCGGCATAAAATATTTAAATCTTATATAAATAATCGAAAAAAATCAAAAGATCTTGAGGGAAATAATCGAGCAATAAAATCATTAGATGCTGAAAAAGGTTCTGAACCAAAAGATCCTGATGAAAATAATCAAGCCACAAATGTTGAACCAAAAGATCCTGATGAAAATAATCAAGCTATAAATTCAGTAGATGTTAAACCAAAAGATCCTGATGAAAATAATCAAGCCACAAATTTAGTAGATGTTGAGCCAAAAGATCCTGATGAAAATAATCAAGCCACAAATTCAGTAGATGTTAAACCAAAAGATCCTGATGAAAATAATCAAGTTATAAATTCAGTAGATGTTGAACCAAAAGATCCTGATGGAAATAACCAAGCTACAAATTTAGTAGATGTTGAACCAAAAGATCCTGATGAAAATAATCAAGTTACAAATTTAGTAGATATTGAACCAAAAGAAAATAATCAAGCTACAAATTTAGTAGATGTTGAACCAAAAGATTCTGATGAAAACAATCAAGCCACAAATGCAGTAGGTGTTGAAAAAGGTTCTGAGCAAAAAGATCCTGATGAAAACAATCAAGCCACAAAATCAATAGATTTTGAAAAAGGTTCTGAACAAAAAGTTCTTGATGAAAACAATCAAGCCACAAAATCAGTAGTTTTCGAAAAAGATTCCGAAAGCACGGTCGAAAGTACCGAAAACACGGAAAATACATTACAAAATGATGAACCAGAACATAATCTTTCAAGTAATACTGAAGCGGAACTTTCTTAATTTCTTTATCTATAATGGTGCGGATGTATAATATTGTAATAGGTTTAAAGTCAAATGTATAATATGTAGTATGTGTAGTAAATACGAATATAAATATATATTTAATGTAGCAATGACCTTTAAGGTTTAGTTATATACATTCTTATTTGTAATAAAATTTTAATAATGAAAGTACTTAATGACCAAGTGGCCGTAAATTAAATTACAGTTGTATTTAGACCATTGTGGAATTACTCAAAAAAATTACTTGCAAATTTATTTATTAAAGTTTTAATGGTTATAATGAAAAGTTTTTTATTAATATAACCGTTATATTATATATATTATAAAATTTATAACTTTGGTGATGAACTAAGTGCTTACTAATTTCCGTGCCGGATCATAATTTCAGGCTTGGCATAATTCTAAATGAGTCGGATACGTTAGTAGTTAGCCTAACCTCTAATACCTATAGGTTAGCCTAACCTATAATACCTATAGAAATCAATTAATAACAAGGTATCAGTAAACAGACTACGTATACAATGATTTATTATAAAGAAGGAATTCGAATGAGAAAATGCTTGTTTTTTAGAATCGATTGTGTAATGTTCTTTATCTAATATGGAATGCAATTGCAAATTCCCCTATGTATAAAGTAGTACGAATCTCACCAATTTGTGCGTATAATAAAAATGTTACCTTTAAGCTCTTCCACATATCACCTCTGATCGACGATACATAATAAATTAATGCTGCTGCCAAGACTTTATAAAGTAAATATATATGTAACCGATCGGATTTTCAAGGATTGAATTTTGGTAAATAATAAATAATAAACCAAAGTCTTGGAATTGTGACTAAGCAAAATTTTAAGATTAGGTGTAACGTAAGAATCGAATCAAAAATTCTAAAATTAGGAATATCTTTTGCGGCAGCATTATTAAAATGTTCCTTGTAGAAATTTTCATTAATGAACGCTTTGAACAATATAAAAAAAATCAAACATTAACTATAGAACATAGCTTATAATCGTACATGTTTATGCATATCTTATATTATATTTAATACTGTACATATATTGTAGCTTTTAAAAATTTGTCTGAGAAAAAAAAAAAAACTGTAAGCATTATTGTTTGAATCGTTAATTTTAAATTTAAAAGGTACAATTCCTTGCTGATTCTGAATTATTTTAACCTCTTATTACTGTATACATAGATTTATGTAAAACTTTTATATAAAGTTACATAGAAATTCTACTTAAACGTATAAAAACTTTATGAACCCAATATAGGTTTACATAGTTATATAAATCTATATATATGGGGCCTTTGCTAGGAAAATCGAGTTCGGGCCTCTTTAACCAAAATAAGATTTTGGTTGTATATTAATCTTTAGTATTTAATATAATAGTTAGGATAGATTATCTTAATACAAAAGTGATTCCTAACAATAGAATTCGATGTTCATTGTCATGTGATATCGATAGTTGAAGTTCCACATTCTACTAGAACGTTAGTTGTCATCGCTGTTTTGGGCTACTATAGGTTCTTTGCCATCACTTTGAGTTCTGTGATCTCTACTTCTGGTTTCATCACTATTTCGGGCTTTCTGTCTCTGTCTTAGCTCCTTTTGGTCTTAATCACCGCTTTAGGCTGATCTTTTCATCAGATTCTTTGTTGCCGCTTTGGTACCCTGATCGTTAGATTCTCTGTTTCTGCTTTGAGCTCTTGATTTCTAAACCAGGTTCTTTGATCTTTTGGTCTTCAGGAGGTTTCTTGATCTCTATTTCAGGTTCTCTATCACTACACCAGATTTTGATCTTTGTCCCAGGTTCTTTGATCGGGGAAGTGATCATCGCAATATCACATGACAATCATTTGGCCTAAGTTAGGGTTAGTTTAGGCAAGTCCGTTTAATTCTGGTAAACAAATGACGTTTGATGTGTTTATCATGTGATCGTCGATCACTGGGTTAAAGTGTCCCGGGTGGACTAACGTTCATGAGCTCTGTTAATCGAAAATACGGCATTTGATTCATTTATTTTAATTTATGTTTATTATTTATTTTTATGACTTTTATAATGGTTTTATTGTTTAAATCCATATATATAATACAATATTGCTCACTGGAACATTCCAGTGAGAATTACTGGGTGGAATTTGAGATTATCTTCCAGCTATAGTTGTTAGACGAAACTGTTTTTGGGAAATGACGAAAGACGAAACCTAAACCCGTCGAAAGACGAAACTGACGAAACTCTGACGAAAGACGAAACCCCTGACGAAAGACGAAACCCCTGATGAAAGGCGAAACCCCTGACGAAAGACGAAACCCCTGACGAAAGACGAAACCCCTAGTGAAAGGCGAAAAGGCAAACTCCGGGCATTACTCCATAAATCACGTCTTTTGAAGAGAATTCATCCTTCTTTTTA